AACCCTAAACCCTAAACCCTTAGAACTCCGATAACTGAAGGAACATCGTGCCAAACCAACTCCAGCTCCCAACGCCTGAAGCCTCAGACACGACGCAACGACTGCCGAATCTAAGCCCGACTCGCAACCCTAACGCCTAAACTAAACTCCTGAACCCCTCAACTCCTAAACTCCTAAACTCCTAAACCCTAAACCCTAAACCCTAAACTCCTAAACCCTAAACTCCTAAACTCTAAGTCCCCCAAACCCTAAACCCTAAACCCTAAACCCCTAAACCTTAAACCCTGAAGGCGAGCAAAGGCGACATGAAAGCAGCTCTGACTGCCTGGGGTCTCTGAAGCCTCTGAGGAAAGAGAAGGAGAGTTTAGGGTTCAGGGTTTAGGGTTGAGAGTTTAGGGTTTAGGGTCTAGGGTTCAGGGTTTAGGGTTGAGGGTTCAGGGTTTAGGGTTGAGAGTTTAAGGTTCAGGGTTCAGGGTTGAGAGTTTAGGGTTTAGGGTTTAGGGTTGAGAGGTTAGGGTTCAGAGTTTAGGGTTGAGAGTTTAGGGTTGAGGGTTCAGGGTTTAGGCTGAGAGTGAGAGTTTTCGGTTTGGGGTTTGGGGTTTAGGCTACCCTAAACCCTAGACCGTAGAGTTTAGGGTTTAGGGCTTATAGGGTTTGGACCGATCAATAAATATGCTCTATATACTCGTAAGCTCTTTATGGTTTCAGGTATATTCCCTGAGTGAGGAATATTGGACCCTCCGAGAGAAGTAGAAGGAGAGTTAGAGGTTGGGTAGGATGCTACAGGGTGTTTATCACCAGAGATTTTTGAAAGGATGGTCCAGCTCTCCCTCACACTCTCCCTAAGCCCAGCCTAGACGCTGCAACCGATACTCTAAAGTACTAGCTGCTCAACCCTAAGCAGCCCCTAAACCCTAAACCCTAAAGCCACTAAGTCCTGGACTCCAAGGGCACTAGACCCGAATCGTCCCTCGAAGCGCTAGACCCCAGCCCCTAAAGCCCTTACGTTCCACAAAGCCCAGGCCCCTAAACTTAAGGCCGAAAGCTTTTAGAACCTAAAGACCCCAGACACCCGACTCTAGAACCCTAGGTTTCAGGGTTTAGGGTTTAGTGTTAAGGGTTTAGGGTTTAGGGTTTAGGGTTTTGTGTTTAGCGTTATATAAGGGTTTAAGTAAGGGTGCGGGTCTAGGATTTTAGTGTTTAGGGTTTAGGATTTAGGGTTTAGGCTAACCGCTAAGCCATAAATCGTCGAGGTTTCGCTAAGTGTGTGGCCTCTCCTTTTTGCCACTCGATTCGAAACGAGGCTTTCAGCGAGGGCCGTGCTCGGAGTCCAAGATTCGCAACAGGAGCCGTAGGTTAAACCCTAAACCCTAAACTCTAAACCCTAAACCCTGAACCTTACACCCTAAACCCTGAACCCTAAACCCTTAACCCTAAACTTTAAACCCTAAACCCTAAACCCTAAACTCCAAACCCTAAGCCCTAA